ACTGGAAGCTATGCCATCCGTATTCAAATACCAGCAAGGTCACCTATGGCAGACAGGTTTCAGCCGAGATTCCAGACTAAGGTAGACTAGGAAGAAGGACCTGGCAGTCTATTTCTGAAAAAAATTAGCCAGTGAAAACCTTATGAATAGCAGCGGAACATTGTCTGATATCATGCTGAAAGATGAGCCCCTCAGGTTGGAAGGCACTCAGAAGACACCTGAGGAAGAGCTGCCTCCTCAAAGTAGAGTCTACCTTAATGATGTGGATGAAGTCAAGCTTTTGGGACCTCCATTTGCTGATGTAGCATGACTCAAAATGAGAAGAAACAGCTGCAAACATTCATTAATAATTGCAATGTGGAATGTACGAAGTATGAATCTATGAAAATTGGAAAGCGTCAAAAATGAAATGGAACATATAAACATTGATATCCTAGGCATTAGTGGGCTGAAATGGACTGGTACTGGCCATTTTGAATCAGACAATCGTATGGTCTATTATGCCTGGAACGATGACTTGAAGAGGAATGGCGTTGCATTGATTGTCAAAAAGAACATTTCAGAATCTATTCTAAAGTACAATGCTGTCAGTGATAGGATAATATCCATACTTCTACAAGGCAGACCAGTTAATACGACCATTATTCCAGTTTATGCACCAACCACTAAGGCCAAAGTTGAAGAAATGGAAGATTTTTAGCAACTTCGGCAGTTTGAAATTGATCGAACGTGCGATCAGGATGCATTGATAATTACTCGTGATTGGAATGCGAAAGTTGGAAACGAAGACAAAGGATTGGTAGTTGGAAAACATGGCCTTGGTGATAGAAACAATGCCAGAAATTGCATAATAGAATTTTGCAAGATTGATGACTTCTTCATTGCAAATACCTTTTTTCACCAACATAAACAGTGACTATAAACGTGGACTTTGCTGGATGGAATACACAGGAGTCAAATCGACTATATCTGCAGAAAGAGATGATGGATAAGCTCAATATCATCAGTCAGAACAAGGCCAAGGGCCAACTGAGGAACAGACCATCAACTGCTCATGTGCAAGTTCAAGTTGAAGGTGAAGAAAATTAGAACAAGTCCATGAGAGCCAAAGTACAACCTTGAGTACATCCCACCTGAATTTAGAGACCATCTCAAGAATAGATTTGATGCATTGAACACTAATGACCAAAAACCAGATGAGTTGTGGAATAACATCATATATGAAAAAAGCAAAAAATTACTAAAAAGACAGGAAAGAAAGAAAAGACTAAAATGGATGTCAGAAGAGACTGTAAAACTTGCTTTTGAATGTCAAGTAGCTAAAGGGAACAGGAGAAATGATGAAGTAAAAGAGCTGAACAGAAAAATCTCAAAGGGCAGCTTGGGAAGACAAAGTAAAGTATTATAATGACATGTACGAAGATCTGGAGTTAAAAAACCAAAAGGGAAGAACACACTCAACATTTCTCAAGCTGAAAGAACCGAAGAAAAAAATTCAAGCCTCCAGTTGCAATATTGAAGGATTCTATGGGCAAAATACTGAACGACACAGGAAGCAGCAAAAAAGATGGAAGGAATACACAGAGTCACTATACCAAAAAGAATTGGTCAACGTTCAGTCATTTCAGGAGGTAGCACATAATCAAGAACCAATGGTAATGAAGGAAGAAGTCCAAGCTGCACTGAAGACACTGGCGAAAAACACATCTCCAGGAATGGACGGAATACCAATTGAGATGTTTCAAAAAATGGATGCAGTGCTGGAAGTACTCACTTGTCTATGCCAAGAAATTTAGAAGACAGCTACCTGGCCAACCAACAGAAAGAGATCCATATTTACGCCTATTCCAAGGAAAAGTGATCCAACTGAATGTGGAAATTATCGAAAAATATCATTAGTATCACATGCAAGTAAAATTTTGCTGAAGAACATTCAAAAGCGGTTGCAGCAGTATATTGACAGGGAACTGCTAGAAATTTAAGCTGGATTCAGAAGAGGGCATGGAACAAGGGATATCATTGCTGATGTCACATGGATCCTGGCTGAAAGTAGAGAATACCAGAAAGATGTTTACCTATGTTTTACAGACAATGCAAAGGCATTCAACTGTGTGGATCATAACAAATTATGGATAACATTGTGAAGAATGGGAATTCCAGAACACTTAATTGTGCTCATACGGAATGTGTACACAGATCAAGAGGTAGTTGTTGGAACAGAACAAGGGGATACTGTGTGGTTTAAAGTCAGGAAAAGTGTGTGTCAGGGTTGTTTCCTTTCACCATATTTACTCAATCTGTATAATAAGCAAATAATCCAAGAAGCTGGACTATATGAAGAAGAATGGAGCATCAGGATTGGAGGAAGACTCATTGACAACCTGCATTATGCAGATAACACGTTGCTTGCTGAAAGTGAAGAGGAAGCACTTACTGATGAAGGTCAAAGACTACAGCCTTCAGTATGGATTACACCTCAACATAAAGAAAACAAAAATTCTTACAACTGAACTGTCATGGACTGAATTGTGTCCCCCCAAAATATGTGTATCAATTTGTCTGCACCGTGATTCCCAGTGTTGTGTGATTGTCCACCATTTTGTCATCTGATGTGATTTTCTTATGTGTTGTAAATCTTATCTCTATGATGTTAATGAGACAGGATTAGTAGCAGTTATGGTAATGAGGCAGGACTCAATCTACAAGATTAGATTGTGTTTTAAGCCAATCTCTTTTGAGATACAAAAGAGGAAACCAAGTAGAAAGACATAGGGACCTCATACCACCAAGAAACAAGAGCCAGGAGAATAGCGCATCCTTTGGACCTGGGATTCCTGCTCGGAGAAGCTCCTAGACCAAGGAAAGACTGATGACAAGGACCTTCCTCCAGAGCCAACAGAGAGAAAGCCTTCCTCTAGAGCTGGCACCCTGAATTTGGACTTCTAGCCTCCAAGATTGTCAGAGAATAAATTTCTCTGTTAAAACCATCTACTTGTGGTATTTCTGTTATAGCAGCACTAGATAACTAAGACATGGACCAATAAGCAACATCATGATAAACAAAGAAAAGATTGAAGTTGTCAAGGATTTCATGTTACTTAGATCCACAATCAATGACCATGGAAGCAACAGTCAAGAAATCAAACGACACATTGTATTGGGCAAATCTGCTGTGAAAGACCTCTTTAAAGTGTTAAAAAGCAGAGATGTTACTTCAAGGTATAAGGTGCATCTGACCCAAGCCGTGGTGTTTTCAATCGCCTCATATACAGGGAAAGCTGGACAATGAATAAGGAAGACCGAGGAAGAATTGAAATCTTTGAATTGTGTTGTTGGTGAAGAATCTTGACTATACTATGGACTGCCAAAAGAACGAATAAATCTGTCTTGGAAGAAGTACAGCCAGACTGTTCCTTAGAAGGGAGGAAGATGAGACTTCATCTCACATACTTTGGGAATGTTATCAGGAAGGACCAGTCCCTGGGAAAGGACATCATGCCTGGTATAATGGAGGGTTATTGAAAAAGATGAAGTCTCTCAAGGAGATGGACTGACACAGTGTCTGCAACAATGGGTTCAAGCATAGCAATGAGTGTGAGGATGGCTCAGGAGCGGGTAGTGTTTCATTCTGTTGTACATAAGGTCACTATTAGTCAGACTGACTGGACGGCACCTAACAACAACATGGTTCAGGCAAATATTCTTTATTATTTAGGATAAACTGTTATATAGTTTAATGATGGCTTCATGGGATAGTTTGAATTCAAGATTTAAAAATTATTTCCAGGCATTAGATTCAGGGGCTCCCCTAGTCTCAATGGATCCAATAAGTCTGGTTTCCATCTTAGGGTGAAGTTATGCTCCACACTTTTCCTCTGTTGATCAGGATCCAGCTACTGAGACCTTGATCAAAACGTTCAGTAATGGTAGCCGGGCACCATCCATTTCTTCTGGTGTCATGGTAACTGAGGTACTAGTTTATGGAGGAAATTAAACCTGTAATCCATTTCCTTCTCATATTCCTGGGTCTCCTTCTTCTTCTGCTGTTCCACAGGAATAGAGACAAATTGCTGTATCTTGGGTGGTCACTTGCAAGTTTTTCACATTCCAGGCGCTACTCACCCAAGTAGGAGGGAGAACAAAAACTAAAAACAGTGTTAGGCCAATTGACTGGATAGACCCATGAAGCCATGATTCTAAGTAGGGAGCGGTTTTAAATATCGTTTTGGGGCAACCAGGGAAATTTAAGTTTGGATTATATGCATTAGATAATTGTATTTCTATCAATGCTAAATTTCCTGAGTTGTGTTAATTGTAGGAGATACATGCTAAAGTACTTAGGGGTGAAATGTCATCATCGGTATGTATGTAGAGATAAAACAAATGTGTAGAATGTTCACAGTTGGTGAATCTAGATGATGGGCATACTAATATTCATAGCACAGTTTTGCAACTTTTCCGAAAAACTTTTCAAGCTTTTCTAAAGAAAAAGTTGGCGCGCGCGGGGCGGGGTGGGGGGGGTAACTCAGGATGCTCTGTGTAGAGTGGGTATGACGTAAGACGGAAGTGGAAAGACCAAATGGGATGTGGCGAAAGCTCTTTATATAACTATCGTTTCCCAAAGGCAAACCCTGCGAAAGAGAGGAGCGCTGTTGCTATCCTGGGGCTTTTAAATTTGGTTAGGATGAAAACTCCACAGCCAAACGCTTGCGCTGGCGCAGAGGCAACGCTTGTGGGTCTTAGACAGGGAGAGTCCAACTTGACAACGTGAGAAGGGGAGGTCGGCATCCTAAAGTCAAACGTTCCTTACCTTCAAAAGGTATCTCTCAAATCTTTGGGATTCTTCCCCCACGGGAATTTCTTTATTTCTCAATATTCCCCTAAAATTTATATTTAAGTGAGACGTAAGAGTAACACTAAGCTGTTTGTTTCCGGCTCCCCCACGTCCGCTGCGTGCGCCGACTGCGAGGGGCGGGAAGGGGAAGAGGAAGGGTTGACAGCCGGCGGATGGTCTGCGTGAGGTCGCGTAGCGAGCCTTGGGAACTTGCTATGGAGGAGTCCAGTGAGCCACTACTGGATGCCAAATCCGGGGTAAGTCTAGGCTGGGAGGAGCAGCGACAGTGGAGCTCTGGAACTTGAAAAATCTTTCCCTAAATTGTGTTTTCTGCTTTCGTTTCAGGTCACCAATCAGGTGAGTGAGTGGCCGCCCCACCTGTACCGGGCCCGCCTCCCGCAGCGGGGGGAAGATGCCATTGTGAGCCTCCCCAGCTCTTTTCCCAGTCCGAGGCTCGTGCGCGCAAGCCCTTGACCGTCCACCCGCACCCCTGCATTGCTCCGCCCTCTTTGCACTTGAGATCTGCCATCGTCATTTAACCTACCGCCAACTACCCCAGCCCAAAAGTGCAAACCAAGTATTGAGCTTCCTTGATTAAGCGATAGATAATTTTTCGAAGCTAGAAACACACTTTTGGAATGTGATGGGTATAGAAGAAATATATGTGTATATACACACACATCTATATATACATATATACATATGCAGCACACACACACACACACACACACACACACACACACGTATACACCTGCAGAAGCCAGAACCTGTGTAAGGCGGAAACCTGTTAGAGAAAGAAAACTCAAATATTTTACACTAAAAGGAGAGAGAAAACGGGTAAGACTGCACCCTGTCAAAGGTGGAAAACTTGTGAGACCTGGAAAAACAAGGCAGGTTTCACTCTGTGTGTGTGTGTGTGTGTGTGTATGCTAGGAATAAGAACTAGAATTTATTCAATCCTATTTCTTGGTTCCAAGTGGTTGTTTCAACTAATAAACTCTTATTTTAAAATTTAATTGTAAACCGTATGTAACAAAATGTGCTATTTTAATCATTTTTTAAATGTACAATTCAGTGGCATTAACTACACTCACAATGACTAAACTCTTTTTAGACAGATAATTCATGATGTACTTAATGGGGTCACCAGGAGTCGGAATCAATTCAGTAGCAATGGGTTTCATGTCCCGTCCACCCGTCCGACCCCCCACCCCCGCCGAAGAGTACTCAAACTAGAATATTTTAGATCAGGAGTTAAGCAGGTCCATATAAAATATAAAAAAGGACTGAGGTAAAAAAATAATGCAAATATAAGGGCTGAGAGTGGTGCCCATTTGCTCCTCTCTGTCATCTGGCTCCAACTGATCTTGCCGTTGCTTTTGAGGATTCCTGTGGGGTAGGTGGGACCTAAAGAGATGGTGATATACTCACTACCTGGTTTTGCTCAGAGTTAACTTGAGTCATTGCCCTTTGATTGAATCATAAATTGTTTATTCTATTTGTTTACATTGTACTATTTGAGTAAGATACCCTGAAGCCGAAGTATACAAGATTATGGGGTGTTAAAAAATTGAACATTTTTATTCATAGTTCATGATGTGTTTTTAGTATTATGTTAGACATAATAATAATGTGTATTGAAGAATATTATAAAGGGAAAAAATTCCAATACCCAGCTATAAGTCATTTGTATTTTTAATGTGTGCTTTTTATATTCCAGATATATCTAATTTTTAGGACTTATACTGGTTTGAATTCCTTGACAGCACCATCTTTCTCTCTTTAAACGAAGTGTATGAAGTAGCAAGGTTAATTGGGTCACACCTTCAGTGAAAAATGGGAAGTTAAAAATTTAATAATGTCAATACTAACTAACAATACTAGTAATAACAGAACATTTGTGATTGATTACTACATGCTAGGTACTTTCCATGTACCATTTAATCCACACAGTAATCCAATAAGGGCAGGTACTCTTGTCGTCTGTGGATGAGAAGGACACAAAATAACTTGCCCAAAGTCACACAGGTGGTAAGTGGTAGATTAAGATGTGAATTTAGGCAGTTTGACCTCAAAAACAAGCAAGCATGCTTCTTTTTAGCAATAATTCTTGCTGAGGGAAAATTAAAAGACTAATAGTAGGTACTGGAATTAATTTAATTAAAAATTTACTTCCTTTTTTTTGCATGAAGGGGTAAAAAAAGTGTTAATATGAGAAAGGTTGGCGAGCTGTTAATACAAGTAAAGTGCTTGAGAGGTTTTTGAGGCTAAAATTCACTTGGGGAAGGAACTTAGTTGTATTCATGTTTTGTGCTGTGGAGTCTATTCGGACTCCTAGTGACGCTGTAGGACAGAGTAGAACTACCCCATAGGATTTCCAAGGCTGTAATCTTTACAGAAGTTGACTGCCACATCTTTCTCCAGCGGAACTGCTGGTAGGTTGAAACCACCAACCTTTCGGTTAGCAGCTGAGCACTTAACCACTCTGCCATCAGGGCTCCTTTATTGTATTCATAGTGAAAAGCGAATTGTAGTTTTGGAACTTAAGTTCTTTATCAAAAAAATTTTTTTCAAGTGTTTTATGTAGACTCAGTTCTATCTTCCTTAAAGTAATTGTTGTTAGTAAATGATAGTCTTTATGTTTCCCGAAATATATTGGCATTTTACATTTTTTTCATTCTAGTCAATAATATGTTTGAACACTAAAGTTGTGTCCAGAACTCTACACAGTGCCGTATAATTGTCATAACTCCACGGGATGAGTAGAGTTTTCCTCATTTAGTCACTCTTAAGCTCTCTTTCTCACTTCTCTCTCCAAGCTTTGAGTACTCCTTTCTCACCCTCAGCTGATGACCCTGCTTCTATGTAACTGAGAAAATGGAATCAGCCAGGAAAGATTTCATCATGTTCCCATCACCTGATTTAGCATTCTGCTGCCTTCTTACTCACTGTGCCTTCCCTTGTAATTATGGATGTGTTTGTTGACAGGCTTGCCCGTCTAAGGCCAAGCCCTCTACTTATTAACTTGATTTTATCCTCTCCAGCTCGAGGACTGTAATGATCACCCCCACCCCTTCATTTACATGTCTTTCCTCTACTTCATCACTATTAAATATACACTAGTGGCGTCTTCCCCCACTCATCTGTCAGTTTGTCATACTGTAGGGGCTTGCGTGTTGCTGTGATGCTGGAAGCTATGCCACTAGTATTCCAAATACCAGCAGGGTCACCGATGGTGGACAGGTTTCAGCTGAGCTTCCAGACTAAGACTAGGAAGAAGGACCTGGCGATTTACTTATGACAAGAATTAGCCAGTGAAAACCTTATGAATAACAGCGGAACATTTGTCTGATTTAGTGCCGGAAGATGAGCCCCTCAGGTTGGAAGGCATTCAAAAGATGACTGCGGAAGAGCTTCCTTCTCAAAGTAGAGTCGACCTTAGTGACGTGGATGGAGTCAAGCTTTCGGGACCTTCATTTGTTAATGTGGCACAACTCAAAATGAGAAAAAACAGCTGCAAACATCCATTAATAACTGGAACATGGAATGTACTAAATATGAATCTAGGAAAATTGGAAAGCATCAAAAATGAAATGGAACATATAAACATCGATATCCTAGGCATTAGTGAACTGAAATGGACTGGTATTAGCCATTTTGAATTGGGCAATCAATATGGTCTACTATGCCAGGAATGACACCTTGGAGAGGAATGGCATTGCATGCATCATCAAAACAGAACATTTCAAGATCTATCCTGAAGTACAATACTGTCAGTAATAGGATAATATTCATACTCCTATAAGGAAGACCAGTTAATACGATTATTATTCAAATTTATGCACCAACCACTATGACCAAAGATGAAGAAATTGAAGATTTTTACCAACTTCTGCAGTCTGAAATTGATTGAACATGCAATCAGGATGCATTGATAATTCCTGGTGATTGGAATGCAGAAGTTGGAAACAAAGAAGGATCCGTAGTTGGAAAATATGGCCTTGGTGATAGAAATGATGCCAGAGATCACATGATAGAATTTTGCAAGATCAACGACTTCTTCATTGCAAATACCTTTTTTTTACCAACATAACAACTATACATGTGGACTTTGCTGGATGGAATACACAGTAATCCAATTGACTACATCTCTGGAAAGAGATTGTGAAAAAGCTCAATATCGTCAGTCGGAACAAGGCCAGGGGTCGACTGCGGAACAAACCATCAATTGCTCATATGCAAGTTTAGGCTGAAGCTGAAGAAAATTAGAACAAGTCCACGAGAACCAAAGTACGGCCTTGAGTATATCCTACCTGAATTTAGAGACCATCTCAAGAATAGATTTGACGCACTGAACACTAATGACCGAAGACCAGATGAGTTGTGGAATGACATCAAGGACATCATACGTGAAGAACAAAAGAGGTCATTAAAAAGATAGGAAAGAAAGAAGAGACCCAAATGGATGTCAGAAGAGACTCTGAAACTTGCTCTTGAATGTCGAGTAGCTAAAGTAAGTGGAAAAAATGATTAAGTAAAAGGGCTGAACAGAAGATTTCAAAGGGTGGCTCGAGAAGACAAAGTGAAAGTATTATAATCACATGTGCAAAGACATGGAGTTAGAAAACCAAAAGAAGAACACGCTCAGCATTTCTCAAGCTGAAAGAACTGAAGAAAAAATTCAAGCCTCAAGTTGCAATACTGAAGGATGGTGAGGATAACGAGACTACGTCTCACATACTTTGGACATGTTATCAGGAAGCATCAGTTCCTGGAGAAGGACATCATACTTCGTGAAGTGGAGGGTCAGTGAAAAAGAGGAGGACCCGCAACGAGATGGATTAACACAGTGGCTGCAGCAATGGGCTTAGGCATAATAAGGATTGTGGGGATGGTGCAGAACCAGGCAGTGTTTTGTTCTGTTGTACATAGGGTTGCTGTGAGTCGGAACCGACTCAATGGCACCTAACAACAGCAAGTGGCATCTTAAAAAAAAATATTTTTTGTTCTCATCCACCTTCAGCTACTCTCCCGTATCTGTTTTTCTTTACAGCAAAACTAATTAGAAGTTTCTACTTATAGTTTACTTCCCCACTTCCCATTCTCTGACAAACCCACGCCACTAAGGCTATTATACCCACCACTCTTGTCAAGGTCACCATTGATCCCCATGCTACCACATCCAGTAGTCAGTTTTTACTCATCTCATTTAACCTCTCAGCAGCATTTGACACAGCTTTGGACTCTCCTCCCTGAAACACTCTTTGTTTTACCTCTAGGACTCCACCTGTTTAAAAAAACCCATTGCTGTCAAGTTGATTCCGACTCATAGTGACCTGGTAGGACAGAGTAGAGCT